TAATATATATAATATATATATATATTATTATTTATTTATGTATATATATTATATATATATATATATATATATACATCGTATTTTTTTCTAAAAATTCTGTTCGCAAAATTTTTAATTAAAATATTTTTCTCAAGCAATATTTGTGATAATATATGAAAATGATTCATTCTATATACTCTCTATCATTATTTTTATCATATTTAGTTTACTGTAAACATCTAATTTTCTCTTCTAAAATAAAAACTTTTTTATTTTATATGCTTATTTAAATGTTTAGATTCTGTATAAAGGAAGATAGAAAAATGAAAATATAATAATTTTAAAATATATCACAAATTTCTAAATCAAAATATTTAGTCACCTCCTTGCAGCAATGGCTCGTCTAACTCGACATAGAAAAGAGCATCCTTTTCATAAGAGTCCTCTTCGATGATTTCCAGATTGATAATTTTTCTGAAACAATTCATTTATAGCATTAATACTTTAACAAGTTTACAGGACTCTCCAAACAATAATAATAAATAATTAATAAGAGTTAGATGCGAAAATAAATTTTATATTATAGCTTACATAATATGCATAAAAACATATATCGATTTTATTTAAAAAATATGGACATTTTGGTTCTACTTTGAACTTAAATATAATCCTTGTTGATCAAGTTTTGTTCATAAGTGATGTTCCATTATCATTAAATATAAAATAAAATATAAAAATACAGTAATTCATTAGGTAAAACGGAAAGTAGAACATCCAGATACTCAAAATAAACACAGAAAAAACTTTATCAATTGGCAAAAATGCGGATTGTCGATAGATAAAAATTGTCTTTAAAATAGATAAAAGAGAAAGAGGAATCAATTTCAAATTTGATTATCGATCTATTAAAGGGGAAATAATTCGATTTAACTTTGAGCTGCTACGTTACAAATTAAAAATAATAGTATCTAGTTCGCGGTTTAAGCAATTATCCTGAATTTATAGATATAAATTTAAAAAAAGAATAATCATTAGATGCCTGTGAGCCTATTTGTTTTACATTGGGATACGCAGTTTGTTTTTGTGATTTAAAATTGTTTTGATATTATGTTTTCAGTTTTCTCCTAGTTGTCGAAGATAAGCATAAAAAGCGGGAGTCCCCTTTTGCTAATGGTTACATTTCCCTAGTCATCATTTTTCCTTTCTTTCTCAATAATGTTACACATCTATTATTTTCAGGCCTTTTTGCTATAGGTCTTCTATGATATTCTCTTTTGCACAGAATACATGCAATCCTCTAACCAAAACTATAATGGGCCTTTTGTTCTTAACGGAAAGAAAAAAAAATTAATTTTTTTCACGAAATTTCATCTTCTTAACATGACTGTGCGAGAACGCAGATATAAAAAAATAGGTATCTCTTATTTTTGTCTCTTATCTTTTCATATATTCGAAGTTTATTAAAATCGGAAGGAGAACGTTAGTTGTGTTTCCTTGTGAGAGCCAAAGCGCGCGATTTTAGAAGAAGGGGGAGAGGACAGAGTTGGAAAATTCTCAGTTTTCTGAGGTAATGTCAAAATCATAGATTATGATTCGGGAAAAATTTTCCGATATAATTTTATTATACACAATTTATAAACCGGAAACAATGTTCGGAATAAGCATTCGCACGTCATTCGCACACTCGTGCAAAATAAAGAGACATCATTTGGAAGTGAAAGAAAGACTTTAATGAACAGAAAGATACAGGAAATAATAATCTTTCGCGCGTAGGCAGTTTGCGCAATTCTAGATTGATATTATCATAACGACGCGTTGGTAAAAAGAGATCTTTCTCACATATATGTACAGAATGACGATGAATTTCTGCTCGTAACAATACTAACATTAACTTAAACAAACGTAGCAAAATGGAAGTCGAAAAACTAAATTTACTAAAGTCATTAAAAAATGTTGAAGTATGTCGAATAAACTTTTCGATTAAAGTTTTAAAATGTTCTGATAGAGAAGTGAATATACAAAATCTAAGTTATAAGAAAAAGCTATGAATATGGCTATGATTTCATCAGATAATGAGAATTTTGAAGAAAATAATGATTCGAAACAAACAGATTCCAAACACAAATCATCTATAAAGAAATCAATGAAGATAATAAATATTCTTATTCGAGACCAATAATAATAGAGAAAAAATTATTTCGCAATTTCATTTAAATTATTTCGTTTTAAATTTATGTAAGACTATTGAAGAAAACTTTTTTTTAGAGAACTTCTTTTGTTTATATCATATGTTTCTTTCTAAGACTAGTCTTCTCGATTTTCTTTATACTTATTCCCTTTCTTTGCCTTTTGAGATTTCTTTTCACCTAACTAATTCCCTTTTCGTTTTTTCCTAACAACTTTTTTCTTAATACTTATATTACTATTTCTTACCTCTAATATTTCTAATAATTTATTGTTAAATGCTCGAAAGTTTCGTTCTGTTATAATCTACAATGTTCTATTTCCGGTCGTACCAAAATCTATCTCACACTTCTTTATTTTTATATCTAAATCTCATTAAAACTAAATCTACATTGAGTTCTCGCTACTGTTTGTTTATCAAATTAAAGTTTTCCCAATTCCTAAAAAAGTTTTTCCGGATTTTTATCATTTTTTTGGAGTTCTTAAATAGCGCTGCAAAAACTCTTTCAAAAAGTATTAAACTTTAAATTTCTCTCATTTGAAATAGAACATGAATTAATTTTTGTATCTCAAAAATATGAAATCGGCATACTTTAAATCTTTATTTTTTTACGTTTAATCGCTGGACCTATTTTCAAAGTATATCAGGAATTTTGGAATTCTTTGGGAAAAATCCAGAATTCCATAAATTAAAAAAATTGAATGTTAACTTCACAGAGATAATTTTTTACAATTTAGCATATTTTATAGAGAACAAATAAGCAATTTTCATATACTTGAAACACGGATGAGCATCAGTGGAAGAAGGTCTAACTAACTATAAATAGCGTTAGAATATCCATTTAAGCCCATACGCATGTTAAATCGATCGACCTCTGCCCGCTACAATGAAGTCTTATGTTACTGCTTGTTAAACAGTGATCTCTCTCGAAAGAAGAAACTTATTTATATCTTCTTCAATCAAATCTAATATTTAACGATGGTAAACGCACACTATAAAATTTTAATGTATATAGACATATAAAAAGTTTAATAGTACTTCGTTAACAATTGTTTAATAACAATTTTTTGTAAAAATAATATATAAATATCTTTAAACATTAAGTATAAAAATCAATAACAGATCAATGACAGATGTGCATGTCCCTGTAACTACGGGCCTGAGCGCGTGATTTTACGCAATATTACTGGTTATCTTCAATCGGTTATAATTCAAAAACTATTGTAGCCCTAACATTTTCGTATAAGGATGCTTGTTCTACTTTACTTGTAGAATACACTAT